TTATTTGACGAAATAGTTTTCCATCGTGAGGCCCACAATTACCTCCATATTTTGCAGCATAATAAAGACGCAACTGTAACGTTTGATGTCCTCCTGGCTTGGGCAGTCATTTAAGCATGTGTGCACACATGATTCTCACGACACTTATCAACGTCGTGTGGTCGCTTTCTCGCATCCTCGTGGTCTCTGCTCTTTTTATCAACACGAGTCTTACGCGACTCCACTATCAGCACAACTTGGAATCGGTCAGTTCGGCCAGATTGAATAAATGATTCGAAGCTTTCTCGCTTGTCTTCTCCCAGCCACTCTCACTCCATTCGTCTCTTCCCCTCCAAGCATCCCCTTTCACACACACACACACACACACATATCTAAACATGCAGCTTAAGTGCAGTCTCATCGCTGAACGACGCAGAAGTGGCTGGGGCGGCTTGTTCACACACATACACACACACACACACACACACAAACACACACGACACATAGGGGACAAGCGGCCAAATTGTGATTCCATGTGGCGCGTGCCGGGCTCGAAATCACACAAGTTTCCGCGAGGATGTCTGACACAGTGCGGTTAGCGTTTGGCATGGTTGGGTGTCGGAATGGTAAAGGGCCGACTCAGGTCATGGGACATCTGTCCATGAATTTATCCCATTTTTTCGGGTGGCCACAGTCTGTCACCCACGAGATCTCAGCCAGATCCCACGCGTCATCTGCCACCTTTCCATTTGTCCACCCCACCATCAGCCTCCAGCGTCATGGTTCCCCACGAAGATTATGAATACGATCCAGGAGAGAGCACATAAACAGGAGCCCATTAGTTGTCAAGACACCGCCCATTTCAGCCCGATATCATCGCTAAGGACAATCGGCACTGACAAACGGTTGGAGAGAATGAAGAGCTATGAAATTCTGATCATATAAAGAAGGCTTTTAAACTATCAGTAAATCCACACTAAAGGATATATTCTTTCTGAGTGGATGTGATAAAGAACTGACATTTATGTTTTTTCACAATCACATGAATAGGCCTCGGCTATTTCCTTTGAAATTCACATGGATGTATTATCCAGTCTCAGCCCGAGTGTGTTTTTCATCTCGTCCGGGTTTCGCGTACATCCTCAGTGGTTATTGAACCAGGATAGATTAGTTTATAGTCTCGATAACCTTCTGGAAATTAAGACCATACATAGTTTAATGAAAATGATATAATTTATATTTCCGTCCTCCATCATCTTATGGTACCAAGGAAAGTGTAAATATTTGATCTTGTCTTCCCAAAAGCTGTCTTATTCGTTCCTCAACGTACACAATTTTGCAGCAATTGTTGTCATTATCCTCAAAGACACAATTTCATACCAAACAAGCAGACTTCGTAGGCATAAATATATCTTGAATAGGCATGGTAGAACCTGCAGCTTACTCTCTACACAAAAGCCTATTTGGTAGTTAGTCTGGGTGAACTTTATTATTATCATCCTGTAGGCTAAGAAGTGAGTGTGGATGTCTTAATCTCAAAATTTGTGTTTTCGGGTTCTAGCTCTTCTGGATCTCATCAACCCCACCAACAGGACTCTTAGCTGGGCCCTGCGAATCGAGTGGAAATTATGCCAAAATCACATTTTCATAGCATTCACTTGACCGTGTTTTCGCAATTTCATTGTGGCAATGAGGAGACTTTATGGAAGCTATTCAGTTTTGTGCTTTTGCCCGATCATTTACGCTCATTGTCACCATCGGATTGTTGGCGTGGTACATTTCCAGACTTTTCGCAGGCCTCGTTACTGAAATGCAACAAATTTGAGCAACGGTCTTCTTTTTGGCCCAACCTAATTATGAAAACTGAAGGAGACTGCGAATAATATTAAGGCACACTTTTACAGTTGGTTAATTTGGGAGACTTTTTATTTCGTATGAACGTATATGGTGAAGAGATTCGTCGGTTAATCTGCCGGAAGGTGACAGTCGATTCCCGTTATTCTGCAGTCGTTTGGTCTTAATACGACCTTGAGAGTGACGTAGTCCGCGAGACATCCTCCTTTGTTTTGGGCAACATCAGAAGATTGACTTGAGAATCTCTTCATTATGCACTTTCATGTGAAATAAAAGTCTCCTAAAAATTTTTTCTCAAGAGATTCATCGAAGTGCCGTTAGTCTTCATATCTATTGTTTGTTCGTCGATGAGACACACAGGCTTTTATCATTACGTTGTACGACACTACTTACATTCTGTATGAGTATATTTCGTGAAGCAGC